CTGGCAACTGCGAGACAAACATGCGTCATTGGCTCAATTGATAAAATGCTGGCAACAACCGGCACGTGCGCTGCAGCAGCCCACTCACACGGATATATGTGCACCTCTGTGAGGGGGAAACTAGGAAAGGCACAGCCCACGCAGATATACACATTCTCAGCTCACAGTTTATCATCCATTCATGAACAAAAAATTAGAACGAGACTCATTGGTTTAAACTTTAAATCAAGAGTGAACTATATGTCTCAGAGTGAGTGTTCTGTAGCTTTATAACACAAAATGCTGAGCTGGTAGGTTCTTTACATGAAGGATGTTCCAGTAACTAACCAGCAAGCATTTTTTGGTATTTAAAAGATGTCTAAAAGACGTCTAAACATACCCACATAGCAAAATTTCTCTGGCCCAGCTCTGGCCCACACAATCAGGTTTTGCTTGGCCCACATGTCGCAGTGAATTACGGTACATGACTGGACCAAATCTGGCTTCCAGACAAGGGCCAAACACAAACCATATCTGGGCCAAGTCTCAGCCAAGTTAATAACTCATAACTGGACCTGAACTGGGCCAGAAAGGTTGGTGTGTCACGATTGCAATTAAATTGATAAACCCATGGAGTGATGCGCTTTAGGCACACTATGGGCACGCTTTTTCTCAAAGTGACCTGATAGGTAGAATTTTTTTTTTCTTTATTCAAAAATGATTTTAGTGTATTTTAAATGTGGGTCAAGACTGGCCAAACTCACATGGCCCACTTATCAAATTTTTAAATCTGGGCCAAATACTACATTTTTCATCTGGCCCAAATCTTGTGTGCCGCCTTAAAGACGGTGCCACCGCTGCCAAACCCGGGCCATGTTTGGCCCACATGCTGTATGCCAGTGCCGGATGAATGCCTGCTGTGCCAGCTTTATGCCAAATCTGGGCCAGAATTATTTGCTACTAGGGTAGCCGTCTTGGCTAAAACAAGGGTAAACTTGGACTGTCAGTAAAAATCTAATAGACGACTAAAAATGGGTCAAAACCAGTCAGACTAGTCATCAAATAAACAGAAATGAATGACTACACATATATAAAGTATGTCTAATCTGTCCACAGATAGCATATGAATGAGCCTGAAGTTGCCCATCTGTACAATGGCAAAGGGGGGCCAAAGATTCAAATTCATATATGGGCCATTTAAGGCAAAGATTTGGCACTTATGGCAAAATGTAATCTGAATGTGAGCCTAATGTGGCCCATGTGGAAAATGATCAATTTGGCCCAAATGATGAAGGACAAATGTGGGCCACAGTTGGCAAAAATGTAGTATAGTCATTTAAGGGTAATCTGGGTCTGAACCTAAAGTGGCTCACACTTTAAGTGCAAATGTGGCCCATTTATCTTAAGACATATGTGGGCCACTTTTGGCGAATATTTGGCACAGTAAGCTCTGGCTATATTAATTGTATTTTATTAACGTCTACCCCAACCCCAACCCTCAAGAGTATTGTAAAAACAGATCTGGATGTGGAGTCTTCTCTATTAGTATAGCTGATTAACCATGTGGATGGATGATAACAGCCTTCTAAGCAACTAGTAAGCGCAGAAGGCCCCTACTGGCCCATATCTATCAGCTGATAACCACTGATAATGCTTATTCAATCGTGTGATAACAATCTTGAGTGCAAACTTTCTGTCACGTGAAATTATCGGATGTTAGGGATCTATAAAAAGCTTGCTTCAGCTAAACTTGTGGGATTGTAGGCTAAATAATCTTCCATTTCCATCAATGCTCGATTCCAAACTGATCATTTCACTTCATAAGACATTAGTGTGTTGTGTGAGCCTAACAATTTATATTATATTTAGACTTTTCTGTATTTTCAAAGTGCCTGTAGCCAATTATGACCTGCATATCAATCAAGGACCAATTTCAGCCCCTGTGTAAATTATTACAGTTACAACATAGGGAAGAAGATCAAGTTAGCAAAAGAAAATGAATAAATTCTTGATGTTCGTGTTTGTGATAAAAGTACGCAGAGGAACTGCGTCAGAGATTGATGATGAAAAGGAGAAAGTTTCAGAGAAGGTGATGGAGAGAAAGACTGAAGCAATAGGACTGGATGACTATTTTTAGAGCAGCTTTACCCCCCTGCTCCTGCTTCCTCACGTGAGGCTATATTTAGATCGGCTGTTGGCGACAGAGACCAGCACAGAATACAAAACAGTACAGACAGAGAGAGAGAGAAAGAAAGAGAGGGGAGCCCACTCATTCATTAAAACAAGCTCTTCGTGTCTGAGGAAAAAAACCGCCAAAACATCACAGAGATTTTCTGTTTTGTCTCTTAATACAGGTATTGTTTTTGTGTGTTTGTGCAATTCTAACAGTAGCAGAAGTAGCCTATACATGTATATTACTCAGTTAAACGAATAGTTACACTGTAACAATAAGGGACATCCTAAAATAAAGTGTAGGCAGCTAGTTTTTTTGTTTATCCTATTTGGGGCTGTAACTCTCGCACATTGTACCCTCCGATAAGGCCTATGGATACGATGCTGCCCCATTCCATTTACAACATCAAAAGATAATACAATTACCCCCATAGCAAAATTTCTCTGGCCCAGATCTGGCCCACACCATCAGCATTTGCTTGGCCCACATGCCGCAGTGAATTACGGTACATGACTGGACCAATTCTGGCTTCCATACAAGCGGCAAACATGGACCATATGTGGGCCAAGTCTCAGCCAAATTAATAACCCATAACCGGGCCTGAACTGGGCCCGATATGTTGGTGTGTTACGATTGCAATGTTTTTCATAAACCCATGAAGCATTTCGCTTTATGGCTGTGCTTTTCTTGAAGCGACCTGATTTATAGAATTTTTTCTTTGCTAAAAAAATAATATAAATGTATTTTAAAAGTGGGTCAAGCTAGGCCAAACTTATGTGGCCCACATGTACATTTAAACATCTGGGCCAAATACTACATTTGAGATCTGGCCCAAGTCTTGAGGGCCACCTGTAAGACGGTGCCACCTCAGCCAAACCTGGGCCATGTTTGGCCCATATGTTGCATGCCAGTGCCAGACGAATGCCTGCTGTGCCAGCTTTATGCCAAATCTGGGCCAGAATTCTTTGCTACCTGGGTATATTCCAGCTAGCAAAATTCATGTGGCTTAAATCCGGCCCACTTACCACATGGAATAATGGCACGGGCGGTCCACTCCTGTTTGGCAAACACAGGCCACAATTAAGCCATAGCAATATCACATATTAGCCAGAATTCAACCAAATGAACCAGAACTGACCCTATTCTTGGGCACAGTTTGCTTTTATTCTGGCCCAGATCTGGCCCACACCAGACACTTACATCTGGACCACATACTGAATGAAATGATGGCTCCAGAGTGGTCCGCTCCTGTTTGTCAGATCGAAGCCACAAATAAGCCAAAGCAATATCACATAATGTCCAGAATTCAACCGAATGAACCTGATCCTATTCTGTTCTCTAACTTTAACTAGGTAACATTAACAAAGTTTAACTACCGTATTAAATGTATTACTAATTGTTTGCTCATGCTACTAAGAAAGTTAATAACATTAGCATAACTAGACCATTATTTTAAAGCATTACTGCATATTGTTGCAGATTAAGTTTTTTTTTTTTTTTTTTTGTGGGCATAAAGGCGATCATTATTTGTTTTTGTTTTTTTATTATAAAGAACACAACCTGCATGTGTCAGGTCTACTCTGCAAGTGGGGTAGGTACTAAAATAACATCAATATACAGTACAGATTTGTAAACGTATTTTTTTATTTTCAGAAATCCCTTCTACTCAAAAAGGCTGCGTTTATTTCATAAGAAATCAACAAACACTGCAATAGGCTATGATGAAATCTTACATTTAGAATAACTGTTTTTAATGCTAATATGTTTTAAAATTTATTTTACTTCTGTGATTTCAGAATATTTTAAAAGGATAATGTGAGACTGAAGACTGGATTAATGCAACTTAAAAATTTTGCCAACACGCACACACAAGAACTATATATATATATATATATATATATATATATATATATATATATATATATATATATATATAT